TTCTGAGCGGACAGAAGAACAACTGAAGTGAGAGGCTCGTTGCACTGATGCAGGATGGAGGGATTCAGCGATCCTTTGTTCTCACACTCATACACCTTATAACATAATTTTTGCTAATATAATCTGCTAACATAATTTTTGATCTAACAAAATACACAGTGATTGAAAGTGTCTTCAGAGTCTGATGGATTCTGTCTTTTTCTATTCTGTTAACTAGGACATTGTTGGACAAGTGGTAATCTACAGGATGCTGAATGGCTAGAAGATTTTAAAAAATGTATATTCATTTTATATTCATTTATTGTATATAATCTTTATATAATCTGTAAATCTAAATTGCCATTATTTATCCTGTATTATAAGACAACTAATATATATACACAATCCATTTTTCATATTCCTGTATATTCTGTACAATCCTGGTAATTTGTATAATATGTACATAGCTCTCATATTTATGTTCATATTGTACAAAACATTTATAGCACGTCATTATTCTCTGTTTATATCTTGTACAACTGTTTATAAATATTTATATCCAATATAGCACTTCTGAATAGATGCAAACTACATTTTGTTGCTTGTACATGCGACAGTGCAATGACAATAAAGTTGAATTGTATTCTATTCTATTCTATTCTATTTTATTCTATTCTATTCTATTCTAAATGTCACTTAAACTTCAAAAATCACAAAAAATCAATTTAGTGTTAATATCTGTAGTTACCCTGTAATATTAATTTTTATGGCACTTCCTGTGGAGGAGCTGTAGAATTTCTTGGTTGCACCTCCTACTGTTAAGTAGGTGAACCGATCACTGCAGCATAATGTAAAAATAAATAAATAAAAATACTCTGCTGTTATAAGTTGGCTACAGCAGCCTCAATGCTTAAGCATAATCTCATCATCAAGAGACTTATTTATTTCCATTCGATTCTGTGATGTTATAAGTAGCTGAAATTTCCTCTACTTTGGAGACACATGTCATATTGAAGTGAATGTGTTCAAAGGAACTCAAGCAGCAAGCGGTTTCATCCATGGCATACCAGTCTGTACTAGTAACAATGCAAAGGCTCTCACTGTTTTTTCAGCCCAGCATCTTTCATGATCTTATTATACTGTTAAGTCTGTCAACACTGGTAAATGTATCAGAGATCATCTAGAGGAGAAAACTTTGGGATTTTAGAGTCATTTGAAGAATGACATCCAAGACATTGCATCGCTGGGCTTTTCCTGGACTTGACATGTTGCATATTATTCTCGTTGACTCACAATCAGCTGTCCAGCCTGATGAATTGATTAAGATTGATACAGCATTAGCAAAGTCACATGGAAGATAGCCTGGGCATTGCTTGATTAAAATCTGGCTTAAAGCAGAGTCTGGGCCTTCTCCTGTTTACAAAGATTGCCTCTGGCAGAATTTTCAGCTAACAGAAGGTGAAGTTGTGAGCAATGGCGCAAATTTTCTGCGCTATTTTAGAATTGTAGTCTGTAGTCTATTTTGAGCTCCATGGTAGTTTGGAACTACTTTATCTTGTTTAACACTTCCTGAGTAGCAGCAAACTCTGATGGAATAATGCTGTGCATAGCCTGGTTGGTTCACTCCAAACCAGCTTAAATTCCACATTACCATTGTATAGAAACAGATAGCAACAAGCAACTTTCATTTGACCATGCTGAGACTATTTCCGTAGAGCATCATACCCAAAAAGCCTCAAGGAACAAATAAATGAACCACCTTCACTGCAGAAATACGAACATAAAATATAACATGTAATTGTATCTCATAGATGTTAACTTTTTACTTACTTTTTTGAAATTATTTGCAGCAGCTGAAATGATTTTGTAAAATCTTACTGCAATGTGAAGTCTGTACTACAATTACTAAAACCACACAAAAAATGCATCTCTTCAATATGTACCACAGATCAACTCATAATCATTAAATACATTTTCTTGCAGAATCCAGGCAAGAAAAGAAATCAGATATCACCCTCGTTTCTGTGACTGTCTGTTTAAATGTGTATTTGTGTAAATATAGAGGTCCTGAGCAAACCAGAGTACAAAATGATCATCCTTATGCAGTTTTTTTAAGCAGGCAGAAGGTGAAGCTTTGTTTTGTTCTGCGTGTGGGCAGAAGGGACAGCCCGTATATTGTCAAAACCTTATGCGTCATAAAGCTGTAGTTATTATGAAAGTATTATGAGGCTGCATATGAAACAGCAAAGCTTTATACTGCAAATCTTGTGCATTGGCATCACAGGTGACAATAGATGCGACACAGATTTGTATTTGCTGCAGCTTTATGAGAGTGTAAACACTCAAATATTTCTTTGGAAGGGAAAAGATTGTGAGGGAAATTGTATGCTGCCTGTTTTATTACACAGCACAGGAATGAATTAAATTCACATTGAACCTAGAAAGTGCAAGACTGTGACTTGTAAATGTAGCTATGTATCAAGTGTTGAAAGTTCTTGCTATCAGAGTGCTAGACCTGCAAATACAGATTACCATTTACATTTTTCAACAGTATTAGAAAAAAAACTCTTGTGCAGCATTATGTTATGTGCACACACTTTCCAGAGCATTATGAAAAATAAATAAATAAATAAGCTTCACGCCTGGCTAAGCTCTTGACACAAATATGCTGCTGCGGTATGTGAAAATGTAGATCTGTCTAAAAAACAGAGCGTTCTGCAGGCCCTCTGGAGACACATATTGTTGACTAAGAAAACAAATCCAATTAATTATTCACAGTATCTTCCTTCTTGAGAATCTCCTCTGACCCAGGCGAAAATTATATTTGGCCTTTTGCCCAGTTTTGCTCATCCATTTGGATGATCAGGGCTTGGAAGACAAGGACGAAGGAGCTGGACCTAGGTACACAACTGTGAGCTATATCTACAGTGATATGACTGATACTAAGGTTAAAAGGGCTATCCATTAAAAAGCATTAGATCTCACCAACTCACTATCTTCCCTGGGACACCCAATCAGGGCTCAACCAGCTGTGAGCAGGCTCTGGGGAGATTAAAGTGATAAAAGTAACTTTGGGAAAGGGACAGCGTTTGTGACAAGGACAATCATTAAGAAATCCTTCAGTCCGTTTGACCTTCTATTTTTCTTTATTAGTTTGAGAATGTGGATAAGTAAAGTTTTTAATAGTGAGGACAAAGATGGAAAGAGATTAAGAGTCTACACAGCGTGAGTGAAACTCCTCTGACATTCCCTTTAAAAACACAGCATGAACAGTAACTGGAAAACTGTTATTGGATGACATTTATTTTAAAACCATTAAAGAAAAGTCAATGATGGTAACTTATGTACACTGGGAGTTTTTTGTAAGAATGTTGAGCTCCGTACTCCTGTCACAGAATGTCCCTTCACCTGTATTATCCTCAAAACTATTTTATGTTTTAACCTTACAGAAAGTTGTTGCTGAATAGCTCAGGAAACTTGTGAAAAAAAAAAATCTCAATGAGTTTTTTTTCTTCCTGTTTAAATAAAAGTTGTAAACATTGCTTTGTCTACAAGAATAAACAAATGGATAATAACCATGAACCCTTAAAGTTCTTTGATTTTTGCTCCTTCAATTCATACTGTACCTTATAACGGATTTTCTAAACAGTTTCTACTGGAGCAATGCTATTTCTTTCTATGCCTCATCACTTTTACACCAGACAGAATTTATGTTCTCACATGCAGAACCATATGCTTATTGTATGCTAACTGCAAAGAAATGCTGAAGAATCCTGATGATGATTAGCTGGGTGTAATAGGAGTTGTTTTTTTTTTTTTTTTTTTTTGTCTTTTTAGCTTGTTCTAAAGGTTTCTGCACAGAAATCCAGAAATGTGATCTCATTTTGCAAGAGTTCACATTTGAATTAAACAACCTCTGAGTAGCAATTCGCTTTTCACCGTTTTCTAAAAATTGAGTTTGCTGTGACTGCATGCATATCTTTGTGTGTTAGACAGTTACTATGTACAAATGCTCCAATCAACCCCTCTTATGAGGCAGAAATTTTGTAAGCCAACATGCTAAAGAGATTGATTTGAATTATGAAATATTTGTCAATAGTTATCAAATATTTATCTCTAAATACAGTTTGCAACATTCATGAAAACAGCCAACAGCTATCAAGAGACTTGTCTTACTTTCTTTTCTGCTTTATTTCTTTTTGCAGAAATAAAGCAGAAAGATCTATGATCTATGAAAAATGTGCGTTTTCATGGATTTTGTAGAATCTATGAAAACACAATGAAAACCAAAAATAAATAAAACATACTGTGCTTTATGATGGGAAAGTGGAAGACCCCCCCATTCCTGCTGCATCACACAGAGGCACAAAGAATGATTTGAAGCAGCACACACATTGACGTTCGCTTCAGGTTTACTCTTGTTTCTGATGCTGCGCTCGTGAAACTCCTGCATTGCACTGAAAGAACTACAGAGCAAAATCCGAGCAGGAACAAACAGCAGGACTGTTGACAGGCTCCTCTCCGCTTGCGTCAGAGATTCATTGCCTTTTTGATTACCCTGCCCCCGCCACGAGAGCGAGTGGATGCATAGAGATGATCTATGTAGCTCTGCGGTGGCATAATATAAAAAGGGCAAGATGTGATGAGCGCTGGAGGAGGGGAATTTGTGTACTTTTCTCATCAACACTTTTTTTGTTTTCCAGCTCTCCTGTTTCACAACTACATCGTATCCCTCATTCTCCCTTTTGCTATTTATCACTGTCTTGTTTGGTGCTCACAGCTTTGGGTCTCTCATAAGGAGATGCGTACACTTTTCATCCGACAAGTCACTGGAGAAGGGATTGGAGAGATGAAACGCAGCATGCAATGCCAACTGCAGTCAAATGTATAGGTGGGGGGAGCTTGGATGTGATGCCACAGTCGTATCATGCATCAGCAGCTTTAAAAACCTTCGCTTTCGTATTTTATCTTGCCCTTCTGTTTTATCCTCTTTTTTTTCTTCTTCAACAGTAGAGGCTTACCTTCAGGTCTCTGCAGGAGTAACTGGCAGGCTCCCTTCAAGGCATTTCAAAGCTGCTCTTCACCCCACGACTGTGCGCTTCTTCCCTGGCTTTGTTCAATCAACAACAGCCCTCCTGCCTCCCTCCTGCCACCCAGCTCCTTCTGCTCTTCACTGCTCTCTGTCTACTTCTGTGCGAGAGGGGGGTCTGTGTTCGTGTGTGTGAGGGAGAGTGAGAGAGTAATAGACAGAGCAAGAGAGAGACAGTGAGAAAGGGAGAGTGGATAGGAGAGAAGATGTGAAGGATGTTTTGAGCTGCGGGTTTTTTCTCAGATATTCTCACTTTTCCCACCCTTGTCTTTGAGGATTTGAACTTTGTGTGTGCCTTTTGCTTCCTATTGCACAGGTTTACAGAAATTGCTCCAAAAAATGTCAAATACATGGTTTATGGTGTGGAGAAGGGATTAATATGTATGTGTGTTTTGATACTGCGGATAGGATAAAAAGAAAAAAAAATACTGTGTTAAACAGGAGGCTGGCATAATCAATTGCACTAAAACTGCAGTCGAATAAAAGCCTCCATGGTGCAAGAATGACACACAAAAATATAAACAGAAAGGAAGAGGGGAAGGAATGAAGGGAAACAGGATAAACATAAAGAAAAGAGGCCAGTGGATTCAGAATGTCACATTATAAGTATACAGCAAAGTTCTTGAGGGGATGTCACAAAAAAGAAAGAAAAACTCCAAATTTTCTTCTAACTCTAAAGACAGCCTGTTTTCAAAATCTAACTCAGGACATGTGAGGGTTCTTAAAGCATTGACAACAGCTCTGTTTGTGTCACAAATTTCCATCTTCAATAGTTAATGAGCAAAATTAGCATCAGCCCCTTTCTACATCCCTGGCGAGACAAATAAACTAAAGCAGCCACTGCTGCCGTCAAAGATTTGCTCATTTTCATTTAGTAGATTTCACTACTTAGAGATAATCTGTTTTGTTGTGTTTCTCACATAGATGAAGTCAGTTAAGGAGCTGCTGCTGCCATTACCACTTTGATTTATTGTGAGTTTGAAGCAAGACAGAAACGCAGACCAGAGCTTGGGAGCAGCATGATGATTTGAACTCGACAGGGAACAACAGAAGAAACCAGGATTAAGAATACTAATAAGTAAGCTTGTATACACTGAAAACTGCTGAATGGCATCTTGGGAACCAGGTGAGTCTGAAAAGGGATTCCCATCCTGCTCCTCCAGCGGGGGAAAGCACAAAGCAGGAGAACTGAGAAAAAGAGACAAATTAACAGTTAGTGCAAGGGGAGCTGAACTAAACACAAAGGAGAAAAACTCTTATATTAGAAATAAAAAAAGTATTGAAACAGAAAACCAGAAATGAATGAAAACCTAACCAGCAAGAAATTAACTAAACAGAGCAACATCCAGTGGCAGAGATAGATCTTCATTGTAAATAACTGACTCCAAGCTAAACACATAGCTTCTGTTTTCAGCTTTAGACAATGCAAATTAGAATAAATTATCATTATTTACATTTGTTGTCTAAAATCTTTCAAGTTCAGTACAGGCCTTCACTGCTTCAATTTATTTAAAAATTATTTCAACATCTCAAGCAATATTCTTTTTACCACATCGTTTCCAACAATATCACAATCTATATTTTGTTCAAAGGAGCTGTCAGAAATCCAAACCATGGAAATTACATAAAATAGAAAATGAAATTATCAAATAAAATAAAAAAATAGTTAAGTGTTGTTCTTTCTTATGAGAGTAACATCTTCTTCCTCTGCCAGAAAACAGTTCCATCAGAACTTAGATTTCACAAATACATGAGTTGAAGGCCTTATTTGCACCGAAACTGACAAATCAAACAAGGAGATTGGAGAAGTAAAGAGTCACATGATTCTAGAGATCTAGAGCTTAGAGGCAACAATTAATTATTAATTAGGTCATTAATGAAATTTAAATCTGTTTAATCTCTTACTATACTATGTTTTTACATTTTGAAGAATGTACTATCTATACTTTCAAGGGAATTTTTCTTTTCTTCCTGAAAGTGGAAGACTACAGCTTCCACCTTCCTCGTTGTGAGGAAGGAGGAACATTGTGCTAATTGCTCTATTGCTTTGCTCAAATCACCTGCCATGTTAATTTATCTCAAATTATTTCCAGAGCTCTAACTGCCTTTCCTGACAAAACAATAATGCCATTCATCATGATGATGAGTATGCTCTCCAAGCTATGATGGAATTCATAGTGAATTAATCCAGCATAGAAACAAAAGAAACTCTGTGGGATCATTTATTCTTCATATATTTAATTTAATCAGCTGTTTTCAAAATGTTGAATTCTTTTGTATGGTAATATGATAGATGGATAAGATGCCATCATGGATACTTTACAATGTTCAGCAGATAAACACGTTTAAAAATATAAACATAAAGACGATAATGAATGAAGTGAATGGTCAGATTACAAGACAATTTGACCGTTTACTACCAGAAGCTGCTTCATGTGCTTCCTGGATTGTGATTTATGATTTTGCAGTCCTCCCTTGGGTTCTTCTCTATTGCATGTACTCCAGCAGCTAAAAGCATGGTGACACTGCAGGGGTCCGCTTCTTCTTTCATCAGCCTCCTGCCCCTGTGGATGTGATCACACTGGATTACAGAACCTCGAGTATTAAGGCTGCAAAAAGGATGATCTCTGTGACTGGCTTAGGGATAAGAAGTTTGGGCTAGAATCACACTCATGCCAATTATCACATGCGTTAACCATCTTAAAAATAAAAATTCAAGCATCATCAGCATGGATGCTCTGTTTGATGAGCCCCATAATGAGCTGATCAGATTAAGGGGGATGAAATCATCATTTAGGCTCCTGAGGTTCCAGCTCTGTTGATCAAAGCCCAAGCCCTTCCACTTTATTGCGTGTCCTGTTCAGTCCGTGGGAAAACCCTTTCAAATTTCTGTACACAGCTTACATTATTGTGAAAGTGTCAGAGGTTATTTAGGTTTTGGGTCTTTTTCAGAGTTTGTGTTTTCTTGTCAATTTCTTGTTTTAGTGTGCTCAGCCTTATTCTTTGTTTTTGTGTTTCTGTCAGCTTTCTTTTGCTTTACATTTTTTTTTCTCAGAGCTGTTTATTTACTCATGTTTAAATTTCACAATGAAAATGTATTCTTTGTTATTGTTGGAATTACCTTTTTCTTGGTTGCAAGTTAGTGATTCTTCTCCATTGTCACTCCCGTACATCTCTCTGTTTCTCACTCAGCTTGCCTCTCTAGTCTTTACTCTCGACTGCAGACTTTTCCCAATCAGCCTGATCTAATCAAGTCTTCAGCCTATAAGCCCCTCTTTTTCTGTTATTCAGCATTGGATTCTCCTGTTTGTTCCCATCATTGTTTCCTTATTCCTCTGAGATTACTTCTTGTGCTTGCTTTCCTATAAATCTATCCTATCAATATTAAAAAGATTCAAACTCAGTCTGCCTCCTACTCTGCCTGCATTGTGAGTCCACCTGCTACACTCGACAAGACAGAAAGTGTTTTCTAGTTTAACGCAGTAGATTTGCAAAGATAAATTATTCAAAAGCACTTGATTTTTTGTTGTTTTTGCTCAAACCATAAATCAAATGAGGACATTGAAAATCACCAAAATCCCAAATAATGAACCCAGCACCAAACTATCTTCCAAAGAGGTTTTACTATCAAGCTAAAACAGGGAATTTAGTTCTTCTTTTTCTGGTATTCAGATGTTAGGAAGTTTCATTTGTCTTTATCCTCTAAGCTTCCTCTGGCAGAGTGAACCTGACCACTCAGCCTGACCACTTAGGCTCACATTAATGCCCACTTTTGCTCACTCACCCCAATAGGCTCCATCCTTATGGCTTACAAATGATTCTTTGATTTAATGTTTGAATGCACTGACACAAATCAGAGTCTAAAGAGTAATCAGCTGACAGACATATAATTAAAAAAAAAATAAAGTCAAGATTCTTACTGCAAGTAAAGTACCAAGTTTTTAACTGAAAACTAGGAATCATATTTGTATGATGGTATCGGAAAGATACATAATTCCACTAGATGATAAAAAAAAAAAAAAAAAAAAAAAAACTGGACCAATATTGAAAAGGGAGAATGTAACAAGAGTTATTTACGAAATAAATTGCTCCATAAATGTTAGAACTCACTGGAGTTTTCTCTTCCAGCTCTAAGTTAAGCATATTTATGCAGTGCCTTGGAAAAGTGCTTAGAGTAGCACAAGATGTTGGAATGCATATCCTCTGTCCTTTCACTCCATAAACACCAGGGACTTATTTAAAATCTGCTGATAGGGCATTTATATAAACAAATCTATTAGATATTTATTGTTAGATTGTTGGTTTAATGCATTGTTTTCATCTCTCTCAGTCATTTAACAAGTAGTTTTAATTACCCTCTTCCAAATCTTATTATATCAATACCACAAACTTAACTTAAATATGTCTTATGTGGATTTTTTTTTCTTTGATAGATCAACATAAAGGTATTCATAATTTACAAGTACAAGGGAAATGGTAGATCTAAGTATAAATTCAGCTCTTGCATAAAGCTCTTAGAGATTTGTTAGAGAACATACGTCTCCTTGGTTTGCTGCAAGCCATTCAGGGACATGGCAACTTGCAGTAGAATATAACTTTTCTCTCTATTGAATTGAGGTCTGGGCTTTGACTTGGTTTTTCGAGAACATCCACTTTATCTTCAAACCATTTCTTTGGAGTTTTAGCTTTATCCTTTGTGTCATTGGAAAATGATGTAGCTGGAAAATGAGCATTCTCTGAAGCTGTAGCTCTCTTGCTGATGGAAAAATTGGTCTCCACCACCATGCTTCACCGTTGGGGAAGTGTGTTTGTGGTGATGTGCAGTGTTTAGTGTCCACTAAACATTGCATCTTCTCTGATGGCCAAAAGGATCAATTTTAGTTTCATCACACCAAATAACTTTTTTCCTATTTATTATGGAGACTTGCACATGCCCTTTGGAAAACTCTAGTCAAGTTTCCTTCAATAGTGACTTCCTCTTTGCCACTCTTCCTTGCAGCTTTGACTGATGAAGAACCTGGGGAGCAGTGGTATGTGCAATGGATAGTTTAGATCATGTTGTGGAATACACGTAATTT